AGGGGAATCTGATATGGTTATATGCCCCTGCACAGACTGTCGGAATAATGTGGGTGACGAGGCTGAAATTGTGGGTGAAGTTGCGAACTAAGAAGGATGGGACAGCGGTCAATACTAATGCCGCAGAGAAAATTGTAAGTTGTGCGTTCATCAAGTGAAACTGTTTTTCTTGAGGACTATTGAGAAATGTTTTCCTCGTTTTGCCAGAAAAAGGCTGCTGATTTAGTCCAGTCTGAACCTAATTCATCTGCAAACCCAAAGGAGGATCATCTCGCTAAGGTCTTAGGACCTGAGAATCCGGGTCGGTTGAGGGCAATGGGCAGAGGGATGAGTATGAGCAAATACGCTTGTTTCCAAATGAAGAACAAACATATGACGGAAATGCAACAAATCCAAGTGCATTTACAGCAACAAGTCCTAGACTTGCAAGAGGCAATTTTGAAAATGAAAAATCAGGTTAGTAATCTAGTAGACAAATGTGGGTATCGGTTGTCAAAAACAACATATTAACGTTGGCTTCTCATTTGTATCTTGTACAGAGACCAGAGCCCGAAGTAGGTGAAAATTCTGCTCCACGAGTAAGTTTTGAATAGAAACTTTCGCTTCTTTATATGTTGAAATTTATGTTTCGAGAGTGAGTATTGAGAATAAACTTCTCCTTCTAATGTGGATTCATTAATTTTGGTAGATGATATCACCATATTTTACATGATTTTACTATATAATTACCTATGTTTTCAAACGGTTTTTGCAAGATTCTTTGCCTTTAGAGGTAGTTTTCTTGTATTTGTGGGAATTTGAGGTCTATGTAGGTGAAACCATCAAAAAGGATGCAAAAAGGAGTAAAAGAGCCCTAAATCAAGATCCATGCAAGTTTCCAAGTCAAGAAGATCATTTTATCTCCAAGTGTTAGTTCTCGCTAGCGCGCAGAACGAAGCTTCGGAAGTTTGGCCGCGCGCGGAGGAGTTCCCGACGTCCAAAAGTTACGATCTTGATATGGAAAGATAGATACTTGAGTCATGCATCACGTCGAAGTGGAATGAAGCCATTTGGATCAACTATGAGGCCTAGACTTATTTTCTACCGAGACATGTCCGGTAAGCGAGTAAACGAAGCCCATGGAGGATTTGGAGTGTCTAATGGCCCGAGCAGCAGCGCCAAAGGCCTTGATCGAATAGAGAAGAGGCCTGGCTAATGTTTGGAGCTTTCTTTAGTACAATGTCGGCCCATACACGACGTGGAGAAGAAGGCTCGGCGCATGAGAAACTTTCCTTTTTCAGCATGAAGAAAACCCTACTCGATATCGCCCATATATACATGTTTTTAGCCGCTGAGCGAGAGTCTAGAGTGTCAAGGTGTGCGCCGTCAGAGAAGAAGAGGAATACCCCCAGAAGGAAGAAGTGAAGCCTCCTCGGATCCAAGCCGCACGCACGACGCACAAAATCGTTACATCTTTGTTCTTGTTATTTCGTTTTCCGGATTTTGGAGTTAAAAGAAGGATTCAATCTTTTCATCAATAGAGAAGCTTTCTCCATCCCTTTTTCTCTTTAATATTCGCATGATGCTTTCATTCAAATCTTGTTTGTTTGTTTGCACCATGGCCGAGTAAATCCCTTACTAGGCCGTGGTGGATCAATGAGTGCATAAACCTAAAATGAGAGTCTTGTGAATTGAGAATAACCTTTGAGTTCTTCACCTTTACTTGAGCATAATGCCGTTTGCTTTTCTGATCATCTAGCATCGGATCTTAGGTTAATATACTCTCCAAAAGCTTGTTATATTGCCGGAACTAGTATTTGGTGAGCGATAGTTCACGGCCAACGAAAGTTGAGTTGTGGAGTATTGTGAACAATTAAATCTTGAACATCTTTAATGCATGTTTACAACTTTCTAATAACCAACGAAAGCTGAGTCTATTAGGTTGTTTAAACATAGTAGTTGGAGCCACGAAAGTGGAAAAACTATATCTTAGTGATTTAAGTTCGAGAACGGTCTATAATGAATCTCTTTCACTTGACTTCTTTGTTTAAGTTTGTTGCATCTCGGCGATCCACCATTGTCTAGTGTTTCCCCTTATTGATCTCATCATTTCCATCTATTCATTATTGCCAAAACATTCTCAAACCATATTTTGCTTTAGCTTGCTTCAACTCTTACTCTTGTAGCACAATCGATAGGTCCTTGTGGATTCGATCCCATACTATACTTACCTCGTTGCTGTGCACTTGCAGGTACTTAAGTTGGGTAAAACTTGAAGACAAACCCAGCTTGCATCAAGTTTTTGGCGCCGTTGCCGGGGACCTTCTTGTCTACAAGATCGGACGAGAATCTAGACTAAAGCGCATTTTACTCTATTATCATTTTGTTCTTTTTGTAGGCACAACTTGAGCGTGCCATGGCTGGAGAAATACGTGACCAGCAACCAAATCCTTGGAGGAACCATCTTGATGAGCCGCCTTTGGACGAGGTCCAAGACCGCATACCACGAGAAGGCCTTGGACCGGAGCTTAACCGAGCCGATAGGCTACACCGAGGAGACCTAGGCGATCACCAAGGAGGGGAGAACCAAGAGACCGTTGGAGACAGTGACTCTAGACCAGAGCTTCTCCAAAGCCGTAGCCCTATCCGGACTTACGAGGGCCACCAGTTTGAGATCAAGCCGCGAGTCATTGCTTTGGTAAAACAAAGTCAATACCACGGGCTTATCGAAGAAGATCCGTTGGATCATGTCGATTCTTTTGAAGAATTGTGCAGCACAACTAGTGCAAATGGAGTTCCGGGCGACTACTTGAGATGCCGGCTCTTTACTTTTACCTTGGCGGGAAAAGCACTCAAGTGGCTCAAGTCTCTCCCGTCTCGCTCAATCACTACATGGATGGAGTTCAAGAAAGCTTTTCTTGGTCAGTTTTATACAAAGCAGCGGACTAGCTTGATGAGGAGCAAGATCGTTGGCTTTCAGCAAGGGCCAATAGAGCCGTATCATGAGGGATTGGAGCGCTTCAAGGAATACATAAGAGATTGCCCACAACATGGCTTCTCGGAAGTAAACTTGTGGAACACGTTTTATGAGGGAATAAGGCGCGAGCACAAGCTGTATCTTGATATAGCTAGCAACGGGAACTTCATGAGTAAGTCCATAGAGGAAGCCAAAACATTGATTGATAACCTAGCGGTCAGTGACAGCAAGAATCAACCGAGCTATGAAGAAACGATCAAGGCAATCAATGCGAGACCGGGACTAGTTGAGTTTGAGGAGCTGAAGTCCATGATCGCTAAGCTTTTGGAGAGAGAACCGGAGCATCGCTTGAGCCCCCGTGAGAGCAAGATACAACGGACCAACATCGATGAGAGGGAGTGCTTTACATAAGCAAGCAAGAGATACAACATCCGGCTGAAACCCGACTTGGCGCTAAGGACCATGGAGGAGAGCTTAAGGCTTTGATCTATGAGTTCATTGGTGAACAGAGAAAGGCGAACAAGGAGATCAATGAGAAGATACACTATGTGTATCACGACTTGAACAATAAATTTGGGTCGCTAGAGTCGCACATCAAGGAGCTTGATCTTCAAATAGCAAACATAGCCGGTACAATCAAGAAACCGCTTGGAGTCCTCCCTGGTCGAACTGAGGCTAACCCCAAGAAGGAACATATAGCGGCCATCACCCTTAGGAGCGGTACGCAGTTAGACGAAGTGGAGATGCCACCGGAGCTCATAAGGAAAGAACCTCAACCGGAGGTAATACTGGAAAGTGTGGAAGAAGCGGCTGGCGAGCAAACAAAGACAAATCTTGAGGAGAGCGCCGCGCCAACAACACCTACTCTGCGCGTATATAAGCCAAAAGTGCCCTACCCCGGATCAGTGAAGAAGCCCAAGAAAGAGAAAGAGCAAGCAAAGTTGAAGGACCTTGTGAGCCAACTAAGCGTAAGGCTCCCTTTTGTCGATGCTTGCATGATTATTCCATCATTGAGGAAGTATATGAAGAGCATACTCACTAGCAACTTGAGTCTAGAAGAGGGAGTGATGTTGATAACAGAAGATTGTAGCCTAGCCCTCCAAAACAAAACCCCGGAGAAGCTTGACGACCCGGGGAGCTTTGTTCTCTCATGCCAAATCGGAGGTACGATCTTTAAACGCTGCCTTTGTGACTTAGGGTCTAGCGTGAATCTTATGCCCTATACAGTGGCCAAGCGCCTTGGCATAACAAGCTTTAGACCCACAAAGATTCAGTTGGTCTTTGCTGATCGATCGGTGAGGCGGCCCATTGGCATCGTGAGTGATGTACAAGTCATGATTGGTAAATGTTTCATACCGGCTGACTTTGTGGTGCTGGAACTAGACCAAGAACCAAGAGATCCCCTGATCTTAGGGCGACCTTTCTTAGCCACAGCCGGCGCCATTATTGATGTCAAGGGAGGAAAGATAGACTTACACTTGGGAGACTTGGTAATGAAGTTTCAAATTGACAAAACTTTGGAAAAGCCAACTATCGACGGGTTCTCTTTCTTGGTGGACAATTTAAGTGAGGTGTCTGAAGGAGTGTATGAGGAGCTGATAATGGACGACCCCTTAGAAGTGGCACTAACCCGTGTGGAGAAAGAAGGAGGCTATTTTAGTAGAGAAGCGCGAGACATAGCCAAATCACTCGATAACGCGGAGACGTACAAGAACTTGGTAGCTTATGTTGGCTTGGAGGAAGAAGTAATGGGCACAAACGCCTCAAGGGATGCATCCAAGCCGTCAAAGGAGCCATGGAGTGAGTTGAGCGCTCCAAAAGTCGAGCTCAAGGAGCTCCCCGTAGGGCTAAGGTACGCATTTCTCGGTCCCAACAATACATACCCGGTGATAATCAATTCAAATCTATCAAATGTAGAGACCGCGCTATTACTTTGTGAACTAAGAAAACACCGCAAAGCCCTTGGGTACACCCTTGAGGATATAACCGGTATTTCCCCAGAACTTTGTATGCACAGGATACATCTCGAGGATGAGTCTAAGTCCTCCATAGAGCATCAAAGGAGACTAAATCCAAACCTGAAAGATGTGGTGAAGAAGGAGATAATGAAACTCTTGGAAGCTGGAGTGATATACCCTATCTCGGACAGTACATGGGTGAGCCCGGTCCACGTAGTTCCAAAGAAAGGAGGAGTGACGGTTATAAGGAACGAGAATGAAGAGCTCATACCCACCAGAACGATCACTGGCCACCGGATGTGTATGACTATCGTAAACTCAATGCCGCGACCAGAAAAGACCATTTTCCCTTACCTTTTATAGATCAAATGCTTGAAAGGCTTGCTAACCATCCTTACTATTGTTTCTTAGATGGTTACTCAGGTTTTTTCCAAATCCCAATCCATCCCGACGACCAAGAGAAGACAACATTCACATGTCCATATGGAACGTTCGCGTATAGGCGAATGCCTTTTGGCTTGTGTAATGCACCGGCTACGTTTCAAAGATGCATGATGTCAATCTTCACAGACTACATAGAAGACATAATGGAGGTATTCATGGATGATTTCTCAGTTTATGGCACATCCTTTGATGTTTGTTTGTCAAATCTTAGCAAGGTCCTCAAGAGATGTGAAGAGAAGCATCTAGTGCTAAATTGGGAGAAGTGCCATTTCATGGTGAGAGATGGGATAGTGCTCGGTCATAGAATCTCGGAGAAAGGCATTGAGGTTGACAAAGCCAAGATCGAGGTAATGGTGAACTTGGAACCGCCCAAGAACGTCAAAGGAGTAAGAAGCTTCCTAGGGCACGCGGGATTTTATAGGAGGTTCATAAAAGATTTCTCCAAGATAGCGCGCCCTCTCACTCAGTTACTTTGCAAAGAAGTGGCGTTTGAATTCAGTGGAGAATGCCTCGCGGCGTTCAAGAAAATCAAAGAAGCTCTCATTAGCGCGCCGATTGTACAATCACCGGATTGGGAGCTTCCTTTTGAGATTATGTGCGACGCAAGCGACTACGCCGTTGGAGCTGTGTTAGGCCAAAGGAAAGAGAAGAAACTCCACGTCATATACTATGCAAGCCGGACCCTCGACGAGGCACAATGCAACTATGCCACCACGGAGAAGGAGTTATTGGCGATTGTCTTTGCATTCGAGAAGTTTCGCTCATATCTCGTTGGCTCCAAGGTTATAGTACATACCGATCACGCGGCTCTCAAGTATCTGCTGTCAAAGAAAGATGCAAAGCCAAGACTTATACGCTGGATACTTCTTTTGCAAGAATTTGACCTAAAGATCATCGATAGGAAAGGCGCGGAGAATGGCGTGGCCGACCATCTTTCAAGAATGAGAATCGAAGAGAGCATACCTATAGATGACTCATTACCAGAGGAAACGGTCTATGCGGTAAGCGCAGTACCTATGTCGAGGAAAGAGACCCCACCAAAAGCGACCACGGAGAGGAGAAATGCCTTTGGCGCGCCGTGGTATCGTCATATAGCCAACTATCTCGCGGCCGACATAGAGCCTCCAAACTTCTATGGATACAAGAAGAAGAAATTCTTGAAAGACATCAGATTTTACTTCTGGGACGAGCCATACCTCTACAAGAAGTGCCAAGACGGATTGTTTAGAAAATGCGTGCCGGAGGAAGAGATAGCCGGGATTCTCCATGGATGTCACGGATCAGCTTACGCAGGTCATTTTGCTACGTTCAAGACAGTCTCTAAGGTCTTGCAAGCGGGTTTTTGGTGGCCTACAATGTTTAAAGACGCTCAAGCATTCATCTCACGTTGTGATGCTTGCCAAAGAATGGGGAACATAAGCAAAAGGAATGAAATGCCGCAAAACTTTATCTTGGAAGTTGAGGTGTTCGATGTTTGGGGAATTGATTTCATGGGACCCTTCCCCACATCCTTTGGAGATCAATACATCCTAGTAGCAGTGGACTATGTCTCCAAGTGGGTTGAGGCAATAGCAGCTCCAACAAATGACTCGAGCGTGGTGATAAAAATGTTCAAATCTATCATATTCCCAAGATTTGGAGTTCCAAGAGTTGTGATAAGTGATGGAGGCTCACACTTCATCAATCGGATCTTTGCAAACCTTCTAAAGAAATATGGAGTGCGGCACAAGGTAGCAAGCCCTTATCATCCACAAACAAGCGGCCAAGTGGAGATTTCAAACAGGGAATTGAAGAGCATCCTACAAAAGACGACCGGGAAGAATAGAAAGGATTGGTCAGCCAAGCTAGATGACGCTCTTTGGGCGTATAGAACGCTTTCAAAACACCTCTCGGGACAACTCCATTTCATCTTGTCTATGGCAAAGCGTGCCATCTACCGGTGGAACTAGAGTATAAGGCAGCTTGGGCGGTCAAGGAGCTAAACTTTAACCTTAAAACCGCAGCGGAGAGGCGCCTGATCCAACTGAACGAGCTTGAGGAGATAAGACACTTGGCTTACGAGAACACCAAAATCTACAAAGAAAAGACCAAAGCTCTCCATGATAGGAAGATAGTGCCTAAGTCTTTCGCCGCTAACGACCAGGTTCTGCTTTTCAACTCAAGACTCAAGCTTTTTCCCGGCAAACTACGCTCAAGATGGTCTGGCCCGTTCAAGATAAAAGAAGTCAAGCCATATGGAGCAGTGGTTCTTTGGGACCCTAGTGGAGGAGACTTCACCGTAAACGGTCAGAGGCTAAAACCATACCTAGCCAACTCGGAAAAGGGAATAGAGGAAATCATACCTTTGGCCGATGCACCACAAGAATAAGAAAGAGAAGGAGTCAAGCTAAATGACTTAAAACAAAAGCGCTTTATGGGAGGCAACCCATATGGTTTTTAACTATTATTTCTATTTTGCAGGAGTTTTTCAAAAATCAAACAAAAATACAAAAATATTTTCTTAGGATGAAGACCCAAAGGAGACCAAACAATGGAAGTGTCCCACCCAATGAGCCCACCCTTGTACAAGGCGTTTCTCTTCCAAAAGGTAAGTAAACTCTCACCTAGTATTCATTTCTAATCACTCTTGATCTTCACTTGAAAAATCGTTTAAACCATTGCACTTTATCAAATATATTTCATGGTTTAACTTGATTTACTTTTGATGATTGGAAAGAATACATAATCACTTGTCAAAACTCATTCTGCTCACTGAAATTACAAGAGATTGAACTATAGTTTGAAATTTGGATCATTGACCAAGACCAAATAAGAATTTATAGTTTGTGCTTTAATCTCTTGGATTGTGAACTTCAAGTTGGTCACTTGAGGATCACAATCTGAGAAACCATCTAATCATGATTTCAAGTGTTTTGCAAGGAGTTACCATTTGACAGGAAGGAGAAATAAAGCAAACCTATCACCACCTCAAAACCAACATGCATATGGCGGCCAAAGGGAGGTTAAAAGGAGATACAAGGCCATCACACGAAACAAGGCGGCCACCACTTGGGAATGACACAGGAGGGTTATTAAAACAATTCGGTCGAAGAAAATCTCAATTGGCCCGAGTGGATTTGAAGAAATTCAATCCGGACATTTCTCTCGGCCATCGGCCAAATTACGGCCAACTCCTAAACGGCGTGACCAAAGTCCACCAAACTTCACAGGCGACCATAAAATCACATTTTGGTCGGCAAATCCAAAAGATAGGACGGAGAAATCATCACGGATCATGAGATAGACGACGGAGCTCATTCTGGCCGATGGCGCGCAAGCAATATGGCCGACAAAACCAAATCACGGCATAGGCGCGCCAACCGGTTGGAAAACTCTTCTTTGAGCTTAACTAACACTTTTATGCAGGAAGAAACGAAAAGGAACGAGCCAAACTTCACATGGCCAAGGAAACTCCTTCCCGGAGCCGACTTGACCATTTTGTGAAGGAAGTCTCAATCCGCTCGTACAAATGCTCCCAAACTTCACCAGAGGCTATAAAATACCAGGTTGGTCGATGAAATTTCAATATAGGTCATGAAATTTTGACGGTTTGTTCTGTAGTTCACAGCACCACATTTTGGCCGACCGAATATACCAATCTCGGCCAAAACACAAACCGGCGGAAACCAAGGCCTGAAATTAAAAACTCACCGACCAATATTGCCTAAAGAAGTGTAGAATGACCCAAACCGGAACTGATCTTCATTATAAATTGGTCGACAATTGGTAACATCATCCTAAACCTTTTTCTTTTCAATTTTTCATTTGAACTTCATGTTATGCCTCTCTTAATCCGATTTGATTTCACCGGGACGGTGCAAGTTAAGTCTGGGGGGATTACTAACAATGTTTGTTCATTTTGGCATTTTCATTTGCATTTTTTCCCTTTTATCGAGTCGTTTTTATTGAGTCAAAATTTTTGTCGAGAATCATGACCTTATCTTGGATCTAACCATGGTTGTACTAATGTTTAAGTGACCATTGAGCAGTTCTTGGCAATACATCTTACCACAGGTGCACTATGAGTTGATCGATCTACCAAAAACGCCTACATCTCTAAAGACTTGAGAAGGATCCATCTTTGACTCCGCCCTTAATGAACTTAATCTTCTCAGCTAGGGGCTTGGCATACAAATGGCATGATTCCTCATCCTCTCCATCAAATGAAAAAGTCTTAGTGAGTTCGTGCTTCCCTCTCTCTCCCCTTCAAATTTAAAGAAAAAGCGTAAAGGTCCAAGTAACCGGGGATTCGGTGGCAAACACCATCAATACTCGCGTCTGTGGAAGATCCAAGCAAAACCTCTATAATAAAGAGAAGGAGTTGAATAAAAAAATACTTCGCTACCCTAAAAAAGGGATGAATCAACTCAAAGAAGTGAGAAGAGAGAGAGGAGAAACATGGAGTAAAAGACAAGTGCCAAACAAGGGGATGAGTAAGAGTCTAAAAGCCGGCTGATCGATACTCCCTAGTTGAGACCACACCTTTAGAAATGAAAGGAGTCAAGGGTGGCGAATTGGATTGTCCAAGGAGAGGTGGACCGCTTTGGGAAAATCGCAAAACTCATGGTATGTACTTTGTTCTTAATTCAAAACTTGCCAATGCTGTTTCATGTGGATTACTAAAGCATAAGTCAATTTGGATTTCCAAAAGATTTGAGAGTTCTCACGTTTTCAAACCTCTTTTCCTGCTTAGTTTGCTTGGGGACAAGCAAAAGGCTAAGTCTGGGGGAGTTGATATCACCATATTTTACATGATTTTACTATATAATTACCTATGTTTTCAAACGGTTTTTGCAAGATTCTTTGCCTTTAGAGGTAGTTTTCTTGTATTTGTGGGATTTGAAGTCTTTGTAGGTGAAAATCAAAAAGGATGCAAAAAGGAGTAAAAGAGCCCTAAATCAAGATCCATGCAAGTTTCCAAGTCAAGAAGATCATTTTATCTCCAAGTGTTAGTTCTCGCTGCGCGCAGAACGAAGCTTCGGAAGTTTGGCCGCGCGCGGAGGAGTTCCCGACGTCCAAAAGTTACGATCTTGATATGGAAAGATAGATACTTGAGTCATGCATCACGTCGAAGTGGAATGAAGCCATTTGGATCAACTATGAGGCCTAGACTTATTTTCTACCGAGACATGTCCGGTAAGCGAGTAAACGAAGCCCATGGAGGATTTGGAGTGTCTAATGGCCCGAGCAGCAGCGCCAAAGGCCTTGATCGAATAGAGAAGAGGCCTGGCTAATGTTTGGAGCTTTCCTTGGTACAATGTCGGCCCATACACGACGTGGAGAAGAAGGCTCGGCGCATGAGAAACTTTCCTTTTCAGCATGAAGAAAACCCTACGCGACTTCGCCCATATATACATGTTTTTAGCCGCTGAGAAAGAGTCGAGAGTGTCAAGGTGTGCGCCGTCAGAGAAGAAGAGGAATACCCCCAAGAAGGAAGAAGTGAAGCCCTCGGATCCAAGCCGAAGGACGCGCTCAACTCGTTCATCTTTGTTCTTGTTTCCATTTCTTTTGATTTTGGAGTTTTAAAGGGAGAATCCGATTTGTTTCATCAATAGAGAAGCTTTCTTCATCCCTTTTCTCTTTTAATATTCGCATAATGCTTTCATTCAAATCTTGTTTGTTTGTTTGCATCATGGCCGAGTAGATCTCTTACTAGGCCGAGGAGATCTATGGTGGCCTGATGAGATCTTGTGAATTGGGATATCTTATGGAGTTCTTCACCTTTACTTGAGCTTAATGCGTTTACTTTTCTGACATCTAGCATCGGATCTTAGGTTAATATACTCTCCAAAAGCTGAATTAGATCTCGGAACTAGTATTTGGTGAGCAATAGTCAGCCAACGAAAGTTGAGTTATGAGTATTGTGAACAATTGAATCTTGAACATCTTTAATGCATGTTTGCAACTTCTAATAACCAACGAAAGCTGAGTCTATTAGGTTGTTTAAACATAGTGGTTGGAGCCACGAAAGTGGAAAAACTATATCTTAGTGATTTAAGTTCAAGAACGGTCTTAATGAATCTCTTTCACTTGATTTCTTTGTTTAAGTTTGTTGCATCTCGGCGATCCACCATTGTCTAGTGTTTGATCTCATTCATTTCCATCTATTCATTATTGCCAAAACATTCTCAAACCATATTTTGCTTTAGCTTGCTTCAACTCTTACTCTTGTAGCACAATCGATAGGTCCTTGTGGATTCGATCCCATACTATACTTACCTCGTTGCTGTGCACTTGCAGGTACTTAAGTTGGGTAAAACTTGAAGACAAACCCAGCTTGCATCAGTAGAGCGTGAACAAGAAATCCCACCTAAAGTGCATCTTGTATTACTGGTCTGGTTCTGATATCAAAGTTGCTGAGGGTCGTATACTGTCTTCAGATCCTGAGGATTTCATCAATGACATTCCATTAGGGCCTAACTCTGTGAAGGTGCTGGTAGAAACTGCAATCATGACGGAGGCTTTTCTGTGGAGACCTGCACCTGACATGTTTACAGTTGCACAAGCGGTTGGAGAAATTATTGCTTGGCCTCAATGTTCTGCTCTACTCATAGACAATGGCGTCGAATCAGAAGACATTGCTCTGAAGGTAACTTTTTCTTATTTAGTAGACACATGAAGACTTTTGTAATCCTTGCTTAATCTTTTCTGCATGTTTTTGATAGAGCCCCAACGCCAGTTCTGTAAACCTCTGCAAGCTAATGGATTGGTCAACAAATGATGAAGAGTTCGTGGCTGAGGGCAGATGGCAGTCTACTGATCCTAAAGCGACAGTTAATGGACTGCCTCTTGGTCCAAATGCGGTTAAGGTATTTGTGGATGTCGTCCACTATCCTGACACATTTCTATGGAGGCCAACAGCAGAACTTTCAAACATGGAGGACTCTCTCAAATCGTTCGTAGCATGGCCAGTTAACAGGGTTGATTTCGGTGGGGAAATGCCAAAGACACCAGTAATATCATCTCCGACGATGTTTACTGCAGTAACTCCACCAGCTCCGGCAAAGAATCCGCAGCAGACTCCTACATGTTCTCCTGATGATCAGGTATCTCATTTAATACTAACTAGATTTACCTAAATCTCCGTAGGATATGTATCTCACTCTATAGTCAATTACTTTGATCTAGCAGCATAACATGGAAAGAAACTATGTCCAAGAAAATCAGAAATGCATCTTGATGGATATGAGTGGAGAGAACCGTGTGGTCGCCGAAGGTCGATGGTCTTCAGATGACCCAGACCTGACAGTACACTTTGTTCCATTAGGACATGATGGAGTTCGTGTATGGGTGGATGTAGTTAAGGTGAGTGATGCAGAGGTGTGGAGGCCTTCTTCCTATATTGAATGTATGGAAGACGCATTAGGCAGTACAATAGCATGGCCTAAGGAGAAGGTGGTCATCGTCTAATCTGCTGTAAGACATCTCTCCAATCTCGTTTCATCACATCTGTTTGTGATTGTAATGACTACAATGTTGTTTTAATATTCAATAAGACTTGTGTTGAGACTTGTATGATATTTGGAGATTGAGATATTGTGTTGAGAAATCTGGATTTGGTTTAATGTACTTGGTTCTCTCAGTGTTTCTTGATTTCGTGGCAAATAATATTTGGTTCTTGAAGCAATAATATTTGGGTTTCAAATTTTAGCTTTCAAAAGTTGCTACACAAGAGTTTTAGATAGGACAAAAACGGCGTCACTATACACCATATACATTGCAAGGTAAATTACCTATTGCATTATTTAACTTAGCACTAAATACGAGCCACGATACGATCTCAAATAGCGTATTATAAAGGCTATGGCATGATATAACTTAGCACTCAATACATGCCACGATATACTTTCTAATAGCGAACAATAAAGCTTATAATATCATCTAGAATAGCGTTAAAATGTGCTATTACAATACAGAATATAGCGTCATATCAACGCTATAGTAGAAAAACATATAATAGCATACCTTAAAAAGCGCTATTGTATGTGGGGACCCTAACATAGCTCCGGCTACCACAGCGTCTATGAAAACGCCATCAAACATCATTGATAGCGTTAATACGGTGCTGTCAATGGCCATATTTCTTGTAGTGGCAAGAACAGGCTGAGAAGGCAGTCATTGAGACATTAGGCTTGGGCCGAACAACGCAGCACCTGCTCGTCCGGCTACTTCGTTATTGGGAGGTCTTCAGCGTGAACAACCCTCTCCACTTTAAAGGAATTGTTCTCCTCATGATCGACGAACAGGTATTAAATGGGTTTGTTATAATGTCTTAGAAATTAAGAAAAATGCTATGTAATGGTGATGAATCTTGATTGTGATGGGGATTGATTATGTTTTGCATAGTAAGGCTGAAGACTTTGTTAATAACTCTGTTTTTGATGCTTGTTTGATATTTCACAGAAATGCCATGTGAAGAAGAAGGATATTAGGAAGTTTCTTGATGGTATCTA